GGGGAAACATTGAAATCATTCCCACTTAGAACTGGACCAGACAGCTGCCCACTATCTCCACTTCTGTTCAATATAGTGCTGGAAGTCCTGGCTACAGCAATCAGACAGGAAAATGGAATTAAAGGTATCCAAATAGGGCAGAAGAGATCAAACTTTCACTGTTTGCTGATGATATGATATTATATCTAGAAAACCCCAAGGATTCAACCAAGAAACTCCTGGAACTGATCAATGAATTTAGTAAAGTCTCAGGATACAAAATCAATACACAGAAATCAGAGGCATTCATATACGCCAACAACTATCTAATTGAGAACCAAATCAAAGACTCAATTCCCTTCACAATAGCAACAAAGAAATTAAAGTACCTAGGAATATACTTAACCAAGGACGTAAAAGACCTCTACAGGGAGAACTATGAAACACTGAGGAAGGAAATAGCAGAGGATGTAAACAGATGGAAATCCATACCATGCTCGTGGATCAGCAGAGTCAATATCATCAAAATGTCTATACTACCCAAACTGATCTACAGATTCAATGCAATACCTATTAAAATCCCATCAGCATTCTTCACAGAGATAGAAAAATAATTTTACGCCTTCATATGGAACCAAAGAAGACCCCGAATATCAAGAGCAATTCTAGGCAACAAAAACAAAATGGGAGGCATTAATATGCCAGATATCAAACTATACTACAAAGCTGTAGTAATTAAATCAATGTGGTATTGGCACAAAAATAGGAATATTGACCAGTGGAACAGAAGTGAGAATCCTGATATAAACCATCCTCATATAGCCATCTAATCTTTGACAAAGCAGACAAAAACATACGCTGGGGAAAAGAATCCCTTTTCAATAAATGGTGCTGGGAAAACTGGATAGCCACCTGCAGAAGGCTAAAACAGGACCCACACCTTTCACCTCTCACAAAAACCAACTCACTCTGGATAACAGACTTAAACCTAGGGTATGAAACAATTAGAACTCTAGAGGAAAAAGTTGGAAACACTCTCCTAGACATCGGCCTGGGCAAAGAGTTTATGAAGAAGTCCCAAAGGCAATCACAGCAGCAACAAAAATAAATAAATGGGACATGATCAAACTACAAAGCTTCTGCACATCCAAAGAAATAGTCATGAAAGTCAACAGACAACCTACAGAATGGGAGAAAATTTTTGCATCCTATGCATCCGATAGGGACTGATAACTAGAATATACTTAGAACTCACGAAAGTCAGCAAGAAAAAATCAAATAACCCCATTAAAAAGTGGGCAAAGGACTTGAACAGAAACTTTTCTAAAGAAGACAGAAGAATGGCCACAAACATATGAAAAAATGCTCAACATCCCTAATCATCAGGGAAATGCAAATCAAAACCACAATGAGATATCACTTAACCCCAGTGAGAATGGCCTTTATCAAAAAATCTCCAAACAATAAATGCTGGTGTGGTTGCGGAGAGAGAGGAACACTCCTACACTGCTGGTGGGACTGCAAACTAGTTCAACCTCTGTGGAAAGCAATATGGAGATACCTTAAAGCGATACAACTGAATCTACCATTTGATCCAGCAATCCCATTGCCAGGCATCTACCCAAATGATCCAATGACACTCTACAAAAAAGACACCTGCACTTGAATGTTTATAGCAGCACAATTCATAATTGCAAGGCTATGGAAACAGCCCAAGTGCCCATCAATCCAAGAATGGATAAATAAAATGTGGTATATGTATACCATGGAGTACTATTCAGCTCTAAGAAACAATGGTGATATAGCACATCTTATATTTTCCTGGTTAGAGCTGGAACCCATACTACTAAGTGAAGTATCCCAAGAATGGAAAAACAAGCACCAGATATATTCTCCAGCAAACTGTTATTAACTGAGTAGCACCTAAGTGGTCACATAGGTAGTACAGTAATAGGGTATTGGGCAGGTGGGAGGGGGCGGGTATATACATACATAATGAGTGAGATGTGCACCATCTGGGGGATGGTCATGATGGAGACTCAGAGTTTTGGGGGGAGGGGGGGAAATGGGCATTTATTGAAACCTTAAAATCTGTTCCCGCATAATATGCCCAATGGATTTCCGGTCCCAATTCACCCACAGGGAGCCCAAGCTGGGTCTATGTCTCTCAGCCTGTAAGTCGGCACCGTTCTCCTGGGAACTCCGTGCCAGCAGCATGTGGGAGGGCAGTCGGGTAGGGAGCTCACAGTCTGAGTTCCCCTGAGTCAGCTGTAGGGTCCCAAAAGGGAAGGTCCCGTTCCCTGGAGGTACCTCTGGCTGGTGGCTGTATTGTCTCTCTGGGCAGCCACCGGTAGGGTCGGCAGAGGGTAGGAGGAGGCAATATGGCGCCTGCCGTGAGGCTGGGGTCTGTGCACACGAAGGTGCTCGGAGGAAGTTGGGAACCTGGTGCCACGTCTGCTACAGGCTCACCGCTGGCTGGCGGCCACCGTCTCTGGGCTGATGTCCGCAGGTCTCTCCACCCGCTGGGGAGCCCACCAGCAGTCCCAAATGCAGGGGAGGGGAAACAGCAAATCCACCTACCGTTGCCGCTTGTCTCTGGGCTGCTCCGGTAGTCTCAGCCTCCAGTTCTCCTCCGCATCCTCCTCCCATGGAGTCTCCCGGGGTCTCAGGTACCCCTACTTCCGGCCCTCGTCCGCTGTATGTTCGTCTTCTTGCTTCTTTCCTCTAATTTCTGCTAGAATCTGTCTTTTCTGCAGAGACAGTCTGTCTGGTGGTGTTATTCGTCCGCCATCTTGCCCCACCCCCAATAACATTTTTATTCAACAATGTTTTAGGAAGCACTCTATACTCTCTACTTTGTATAAACTCTACACTTTAACTTATTAATTCTCTAATCAATGCTATGAGGTATAGTTACTATCACCATACTCATTTTTATTGTCTATTTGGAAGGGTAAAGCCTAACCTATTACTTCATTCATGAACTATCCTTAGAGTTATTCCTTTTACATCTGTGTTTCCTTTTTCTATAGCTAGCTCTAGTATAATACATTGAGAAATTTCTAAAAATTGAAAATTTATTTGTATATAGACCATGGATTAGGTAAATTATATTGTATCAATGTCAAATTTCCTGAATTTGATAATTGTACTTTGGGTATGTAAGAAAATATCCTTGTTCTATGCAGAGAAGGTTTGCTTATTTAGAAAAAAATAATAATAATAATAAAATAAAAAAAAAAAAGAAAGAAAATATCCTTGTTCTTAGAAAATACACACTGAAGTGTTTAAGGATAAGGAGCATTATGTCTGTAACTTAATCTGAAAATACTGTAGAAGAAACCAGTGGGAATGTGGATTTATCAGCAGGGTTGGTTTCTTCCCAGGACCTCTTCTCCTTGGCTTGTAGATGGCCATATTCTTCCTATGTCTTCAAATGGTTCTTCCTCTGGTGCTCTTCTTATAAGGACAGTCATACTTGATTAGGGCCTGCTCAAGTGATTTCACTTAACCTTGATTATCGTTTAAAGACCCTATTTCCAAATGCAGTCTCATTCTGAGGTACTGGGGATTAGGACTTGAAACATATGATTTAGGGGGAATGCAATTCAGCCCATAATAGTACTGTTTAATTTTTGTATTTTCATTTTATATCCCACTTTGTTAATCCTATTACAAACTCTAATCTATATGTATACACTTTGAGGGGTTTTATTTACCTAGACAGGTATATAATCTGCAAATAATATCAGGTTTTTTCCCTTCCTTATCAAGTCTTATACCTTTTATTTCCTTTTCTTGCCTTTCTATACTCACTGAGACCTCTGATTCAGTGTTATGTTAAAGAAGTAGTAACTGGCAACTTTGTCTTTTTTGCTAATCTTATAGGGAATGCCTTCAGTGTTATATAATTTAATTTTAGCTGTGGGGTTTTTGTTGTTATCCTTCATCATGTTAATGACTGCTTTTCTGTTCTTGGGTTCAACAATTTTTTAATTATTAATGTAGGTCATGTTTATCTGTATCTGTTGAGATAATCATATCATTTTTACTCTTTTAATACATGTCCATAATTGTGTTACATTAACCTGTTTTCTAGAGCTATACTGACCTTGTATGCCTAGGATAAGCCTAGGTTGGTCTTGATGTGTTTTATTTTGTATCTTTTGCTGGATTTGATTTGTTGGGTTTTGTTCAGATTTTCACATTCATGTTTCAGCGACATTGGCTTGAATTTTTCCTTCTTGTATTGTCCTAGTCTGATTTTTGTATCAGGACTATGGAAGCCTCATAAAGTATGTTTGGAAGTCTTCCCACTTTGTCTCTTCTGTAGAGATAAATGTTAGTTGAATGTTTAGCAGAACTCACATGTGAAGCCATCTGCACATGTGATTTTCTTTATGAGAAGATTTCTAACAACTGATTGAATTTCTTAATTACAAGTAGTAGTCCAATTCTTTCAAATCTGGTGTTGAAATATACTTTTCTAGAAATTTATCCATTTCTTTTGAGTTTTAAAAATAGTTGTCATGAAATTTTTCATAATGTCATCTTGTTCTTAATCTCGGGATCACCTGCATTTTTGCTACCTTTGCCATTTCTGATAATCTTGGGACATTTTCTCTTTTTTTCCTGAAGCAATATTTGTAGAAATTTGTCAACAAAGTATTTCTTAAAACTAACTTTGAACTCTTTTTATGTTCTCTGTTATGTTTGTTTTCTGTTTCCCTTATTTTTGCTGATTATTTTCTTATTTCTACTTCCTTTAGGTTTATACGTTTTCTTAAAATGTTCAGATTACTCATTAATTTTCAGTCTTTCTAGTATTTCAAGGTCATTAATTTCCTTATAAATTTTTACTCAAGCTGAATCTTACAAATTTAGTTAAGAAGTTCTGTGGTTATCATTTGTTATCAGTATTTTCTAAGAAGTGTTTTTCTTAATATCCAAATGTATGATATTTTTCTAGTTAAGATAAAAGATATTAAGATAATAGAAATTATTCGTTTTTCTTTATATAGAGTGGTGAGGCTGAACGGCAATATAAAGGAACCTTAGACTGCTTTGCGAAGATATACCAACATGAGGGAATCGGCGCATTTTTTCGTGGTGCCTTCTCTAATATCCTTCGTGGTACAGGGGGTGCTTTGGTGTTGGTATTATATGATAAAATTAAAGAATTACTTAATATTGATATTGGAGGTGGTTCATCAGGAGATTAAATTGAGAAATGCATGTATTTAACTTAAACATTCAAATTACATAGCTGCCCTTTATATACATTTTGATAGTGTGTTATAACTGTCAGTATTTTGTTAAAGTGCTAATTCAGCAATAAAAAGCATAGGCTTTTTTCAAGGATTTAAATACTAAAAATCAGATAAATGTGGGTTTTTTCCCACTTCGACTCAAACTCCTTTTAATGAGACATTTTACTTATAAGTAGTATATTTTATCTCTTGTTAGTTTAAAATTCTTTTCTTGAGCCTTCTGGGAAAAAAATTCTTTTATGATGAAAAATTTAAATGTATGATGCTGAAATCTAATAAATGAAAATATCTTCTTCTAAATTGCTATTCTTTTAATATACCTGTTTTCCCATCTTTTAAAATCATATGGTATGACATATTTCTTAAAAACTTATCAAGAGATGTCTTCATTACATCCTCAGGCATAAATAACATTTCTTCTACAACATCTTTTCTAAGACAGCTCAGATATTACTGTGTATATTATTTATGGTATCAGATATTATATAGCTTTTGATAGCACAGATTATAGACCTGATCATTAAAAATTTGATAATGACTTATAAAACTTAATGGAAAATAAAAGATATACAATGGTTTATCTGCTTATCTTTAAAATAAATAAAATTTTGCTAATATGAATATATTGAAACAAAAAACATCCCCTTGAAAATTAGTTTGTGTATTGTATATTAATAATAAAGTTTGAAACTGTTAATAAATTAGTCCTTTTTTCCTGACTCTAACTTTATTAGTAAGGAAAGGATTACAGAATTTTTGTCACAGGTAGAAACTAGCTTAAAGACAGAAAACAAAAGATACTTCTCAATGAAGCAATATAAACAGCATTTCTATAAACAGCAAAGAAGCAATATAAACAGGTTTCATACAGGAGTTTGTCTTGTTTTTCAGAGATATTGTAGAAGACAGTATATTTGAAATCCCAAAGATTTTAAAGTTTTAGTGGGTAAAGGAATGTTAAGGTAGTGAGGATAAACTATAGAAAGATTTTGTGAGGCTGTGAGTGAGCAAAATGGGGTAAGTGAATTCCCTGGTACACACAGGCAAAGTATATTTCAAGAAAAATAATCTAAACTATACATTTTAATATATTGATGTTATTGCTCAAGAAAAAAATAACTCTTGAAAAAACTCTAAAGATTTCTTACAGCAGTCAACATAACACAGAAGTTACAGAAACAAAACAGAAAATATCATCCTGTCCTTAGACTATCAAATGGTTCAAAGAAAGACCATTAAAATAACCAAATATTGGCCAGGCACAGTGGCTTATGTCTGTGATCCCAGCACTTTGGGAGGCTGAGGCAGGAGGATTTTGAGCCCAGGAGTTCAAGGCTGCAGTGAACTATAATTGCCCCACTGCACTTCACCCTGGGCAACAGAATGAGACCCTGTCTCTACAAAAATAAATAAATAAAAAGTAACCAAATATTAGGGATGTTTCCCATATAAATATTAAAATAATATAGAAGTTTTCAATGTGTACAGAAGCATGCTTAGAGGAATGAAGTTTTGAAAATTCTGAATGGCAGGGATAAAAATTGCTAGACTAAAATCCTGTCCTTTGAACACAGAAGATACATAGTTAGAACAAAAGAAAGTAAAATATTACTTAAATGTAAATTCAAAGGGGCTCCCTATGAATTCAAAGGTACATCTTTGTCAAGTCTAGTAAAGGGTCCAGTGCTATGCTCTTTTCTTGCTTTACATATGCCCCCGCCATGACTTATTTCTTCTGTACCTTTACATTCAGACGCAATATGTATGCCAGTGACACTGAAATTTCTCTCTAGCCTGGTACATATTCATTTGGGTTTCCAAATGTATATTCCTGTCTCTTGCATCTTTTTCTTTATATGTATCACATACTTCTCTAACCAGCATATCTAAAACCTAACTCATCATCTTAATTCACAAGTTTTTCTTTCCATACCGGTATCTTAATTACACACCCCTCTATCCAGTCACCCACACTAGAAACCCAGTTGTCCTTGCTTTCCTTCTACCTCAATTCATATAGCAAATAGATCACCAGCTCTTGTAAATTCTATCTCGTAGAATTTTCCTCTCATCTTTTTCTTTTCTTTCCATTTTAATAAAAATATCAAGAAATAAGACAAACTCATGACTTAGAAACCATATTTAAACTTACCAGTAATAGATGCCAAAAGATATGGGAAAATACTGCTAATCAAAAATTCTGCACTCACCTGTATTATTAAAACATCAGGTGAACATAAGATTTTCAGGCAAAACCAAAAAATAGTTCACCATTCAGAGATCTTTGCTGAATTACTGAAAGAAACTGTACCCCTAGAAAGATCCCAACCCAGTGGGATCTAAGAAGCAACAAAGTAAACAAACTAATAAACATGTTGGTAAACTTAGATAAATAATGGCTGTAAAAGGAGACGTACAGACTTTGGGGCTGGTGGAAATGTGACTTGGTGAATTTAGTAATAATTTAGCCTCTTTCTCATTCCTCTTTGGAACCTACACACATTCTAGTCTCTTCCTCCTTGATATAAGTTTTATAGGGGATTACCTCAATGGAGCATTAGTATGTATTACTGTAGGTAGGTGAGTCAGTTCTGAAATAAGCACAAGCCCATAGGCACCTAAGTAATTTCTATAATGTCAATGTTATCAGTAATAAAGCTGATATTTTTATCCTCATTGCCTACTCTCCTATCTCAGTTCTTTGAAAACTCAGGAATATTGTTAAAATGGTATGTAAAAGGAAATCTATGGCTTCAACTGTATGTATTAGAAAACAAGGGAGACTGAAAATTAATGAGCTAGGTATTCAATTTAGGAGATTACAGAAAGAATAAACATAAAAATATAGAAGGAAATATTAAAGGACAAAATAAGAAACAGACATAATGAAGTGAAGAAAACCAAAAGCTATTTAATAAACCATAAATGATAACCAAGAAAAAGAAGAGACTATATTAAAAATTAAAAAGATGGACATATAGCTACAGAATAGATTTTTCAAATTAAATGAATAATTAACTTTGTGCCAACAAATGATAACCCAGATGAAATAGTAAATTTTCAATAAGAACATAAATAACCAATTCAAGAATAATAGCAAACATAGCCTATAACCACTAAAGAAATTTAATCAGTGGTCATAAATCTACTCATAAACTCCAGTCCAAGATGGTTTACAGGTTTGTCTTATCAATGCTCTATCAGAAAAGAGAGGTAACTCCTTTGGCTTCTTTGAGGGTAGTATAATCTTGATGCCAATAAAGAGTAAAGAAAGGAAAATTAAAGGCTAGTCTCACGAATATAGATGCAGATAACCTCCATAAAATAATAACAAGCCAAATCCAGTGTATCTAAAAACAATCAGAATCATCATGGCCTAGTTGGTTTATCCCAGAGATAAAAGAATGTTAGAAAAATCGATTAACATTGACTGCATTAACAAATAAGGGGGAACAAAAAGGTCATTTCATTAGATGATCATTTAAGTTTCATTATCCACTTGACAGAAAATCTCTTAGCAAAGTATGGAAAGAAGATAATTTTGTTAAGCTTCTTACATCATAAACAAAACTTTAATGTTAGGGACAAGACAAGAATGCTCATCACTACTGCTTAATATTTAACATTTTACTGGAGAGCGTAAGCAACATAGTTAAGAAAAAACAAGAAATAGAATTAAAAATGAAAAAATACTTATTTTCCAGGCCATGTGGTTTTGTACACAGGAAATCCAAGAAACTGTATAAATAACAGAATTTCTATAAAATAGTACAGCAGGCTTGCTGGATACTTGATCCATAATATACATAAAGCAGTACGATTCCTATATTGTAACAGCTGCTAACCATAACTACCATTTATTGACCTTTGTGGTGCCAGGCACTGATGCTGTGGTTACATTGTTTAATCATAAAAACAGCCCATAGGTAAATTCGTCTTCATTTTAACATATTGAACCTGGGGCTTGTTGAGTAACGTGCAAAAGGTCCTACAGGTAGAGAGTTCAGCGAGCCTGGGACTACAACCTAAGTCTATGTGACCCCAAATCCTGTCATTATTTAACTACTGGGTACTCTTGTCCTCCCCGTAATTGTAAGGAATGTGATAACACCACCTTGCCTCTGGTCTCAACTGTTTTTTACTTTAAGTGATATTTTTTAAGTAGAAAAATCATTTTTACACCCTCAAGTTTTACAGACAGCATGGATAAATAAGTGGAGCCAGATAAATTAATTGCCCTAGGAGCGTTTTGAAACATCAGAATAAATCTAGACGGTGGGCCCTAAAGGATGATGTCTGAAGAGGTGTCCCAAGAGAGGAGGTGGAACCCGGGGGCCGCCCCGCAGGTTGGGGCCGAGGACCCAGGACGTAGCCAGGGTTCTGATGGGGGCGGGGGTGCCCAATCCCCGCGCTGCCTGCGCAGTGCCTGGTGGGAGGCCGAGCCCTGGGAGCCTCGGAGGCTGGCGTGGTCTGTGTGTCCCAGGGCTCCTGGGCGCTCATGGAATGAAGGGAGGCATGACAGACACACCAGAGTCGAAGCGATACTGTACAATCCAGTTTCCTCGGTATTGCCCTAGAAAATGGATTTCCTGTTCATTATAACAGCAGCAGGAGCGATAACCACACTTGCTGCTGCTGCTGCTGTAGCAGCACTGTTAGTAATAACAACTATAAATTCTTTAAAGTGGACGACTACGGACAATAAGAATACTGAAAAATCTCACCAAAAAACCAAGGTTACTTTTACAGTGCCAACCGATATGAAACAGGAAACACCCAAAGAATTGGACAAGCAGCAACAGGGAACACACGAAGAAGTGAACGAAAAGGAACAGGGCAGCCAAACTTCGTAAGTGTAACATATAACTGGCTTAAAATGCAGACAGGCAACAGAGGCAGATCAAATGAAGAGGGAAGGCGCTGGACCACACCAGGCCCCTTTTCTGAGGACCACAGGGAAGGCTGGTGTCGAGTGACAGAGCTCAGGACACTGCCCTGTGAAACTGGTTTTCAGAAGGAAGAGTTAGTGAACAGACTGCATCTTTTAGAATGGTGTGAAGCGAATGTTATCAGTGTGCTCCCGTTTCTTGACAGAAGCTTTTGGTATTTCAAACCCTGATACCAAAAACTCTCTAAAATTTGTTCATTCTGCTTTCACACAAGAGACTGGCTAGAGAAGCACAGGGACCCCTCTCCCCCGCTCGGCAGCGCCCCGGGGGCGGGGCGGGCGCGCGCCGCACAATGGGCGCCACCTCACAGAGCCGGGCGCGGGCCTCGCGCCACCCTGCGGAGCGCTCCGCGGGCGACACATGGGCCCCTGGGGCGGCGAGGCCGGCGGGTGGGTGCTCGGGCTGCGGGCCGGCCCCTCGGAGGGAAGGGGCGAGGGGCCGCGCCCGACTTCGGGTAGGCCTCGGCAGCATCCTGCGGCCTGACAGGCGCGCCCCTCGTTGCCCAAACAATCCCAAAGGGTGCCTCGCAAGCGATTGCAAACCGCCAGACGGCCGCCTTTCAGCTGGCCCAAACGCAGGTCGTCCAGCTGCCGCGCGGTGGCGAGCGAGCGAACTGGGCTTCCCTTCCTCTCCTCCCAGAATCTCCCCGCCCCGCCTTCCCTTCTCTCCCCGCCCGCCCCCGGCTGGCTAG